CCCCCCCCCCCCCCCCCCGAATAAATTGGTACCTAGTTTTCAAAACATTCGAATAGCCGGGAAAAAAACGAGTCAGGAACTAGGTACTTAGTTAAAACAGGGTGACTAGCTAGGTCTCTGAGGCCCCGGGAGTTTGATAAATATCGCCGAGACCCGGGAATTTGAAGAAATCTGTAAATTGGCTTTTCCCAGTCCGACAGTACGTTTTACGTGAACAGGCGGCTATGGCGGCATGCGGAAGTGTGTGACACCTGGTGACACCGTTGCTCAATCGGGAATATCAAGATCTACTTTCGCTTTCGTTACCACCCAGAGCTTGGTGGGTGATAGTCTGATAACGCAACCTTTGTGACATGCTAGTTGAGCACTATAAACGCTGTGTCGCCATGAAAATAAATCAATATTTTGTCTATGTGCCGTCACTTGTGAAAAAAGAAAAGCGTCGTCCGATTGTCAGCTATTCGGGCTCGTCATCGTGACCGGTCAGTGAACCTGCGCACGTTCGGTAGTTGGGATCGCCAAAGTTCATTCAAAGTCTGAGCGTTTGGAAGCATAAGACTCCGGGTGAAGGAGGGGGGGGGGGGAGAATGATGTTATTGGTTCTTTAAAAAAGATACTCTCTGTGGGGATGGTCGGAAGGCGACACCGGAGGACAAAAAAACTTGGAAGCAGATTTGATAATTTTAAAAAAAATAGAGCTCTCTACAAAGCGCGCTTTGGCGCCGGCCGTGTGTGAAATCGAGATCCATCATACCTTGTAAGCCTTGTTATTGAACTAAAGTGTACGCGTTTCATTGGATGGGTGATAGTAAATTATAACAATATTTTAGCTTTCTGTTCAAGATTGGCAGATTTCCAGTATCACTGCATCTTGACCTCTCTCAGTTCTTTCACCTCTCGCACTGAGTAGGTCTACTTGAGCCATTCAAGTTTTTACTCTACTTTGAGTTTGAGCAATAATTTTTGTCTTTCACGTTTATAATATGAATCATAACAGCAAGACTCATTCTTGAGAGTCGATTTTCTGGTTCTGGGTCCATTCACATATAATATGAATCATGACAGCAAGACTCATTCTTGAGTTGAGAGTCGTATATATATATA